CAGTACATGTTCTCACTCAGTACCACCAGCACACAGGAATGATGCTTTCAAAGCTATACGTAAAGTTTTTTGCTGTATCTCTAGAGCATCTGGGAATATTGACATCCCTTCCATTCTGCATTTTCCCCTTCTTCTTCTCCTCCCTCTCAAGAAAACCCAACACTCATACCCAACTTACCTATACATCCATGAAGAAAAGTAGTAGCAGGTAACAGTTCCAGAAATCTCTGCCTAAAACATGAGAATTAGGGTTAATGCTGCATTGCCTCTCAGCAACATTTCATTCTGGAGGTTTGTAGGCTTCAAGTACTTCTCTGCATGAAGCCTGACACATGTATAAGGATTCCAGTGATCTCACTCTGGACAACAATGCTTGCTGCTACTCTTTCTCCTTGCTGGAAGCAATAAATTCCCTGAGAGCAAAAATGTTCAGCTGAGGTGAATTTGTGCTCAATTCCAGTACTTCTCCTAATGACTAATACTATGGTTGTAGGCACTATGATTTTGTGCAGCTGAGATATCTCCTAGGTGAATGACAAATCTTGTCTTTATACAAAGCTTCATTGCAGGTGTCAGAAAACAGTAACACAGCCATTGCTTTAGCCCCTGCATGCACTCAAAATGAAATTTCCCTTTGATGGTCTGTGAGCTGAAACATGAAACAACAGTACACTCTCCATGCTCTAGTCACTCACCTACTTAGTGAAAAACTAGCAGCTCCTGACAACTACTTGCAGAATATTGGTCAGAGATTCTGTCCAAATAAAATGATGGATGCTACAATTTACAGTTTCTTTTGCTTATCTAAAAGTCTGTCTAATAGAATATAGAAATATTCTCATGTTTTCTTTGGAAACCTTCTTACTTTTCTGTAAAGAACATCTCTTCCCTGCTCACTGACAAATTAGCTCACCACTTCTTCTTCCATTGCTTCCACATTTGAGTGGCAAAGGAGTGGTTTGACCACTCAGCTGTCTCAGATACTTATGTAGTGAGTTTCATGGTCTGAATTGTGTTGACCAAGGAAAAATGGTGAAGTTTGAAACGTCAAATACTCTGTTCAGCTTGTGAAAATTTAATTTGGTTTCCACAGTTTTTCAAAATACAGCGATGCATTGTCTTTTCCCCCAGAATTCCAGCACACACATTATTCGTAAAAGTGAACTTGACATGAAGCTAAATTATCATGATGCGTTGAAGGAGGTTGTTACTTAGAAGACATCTATGTCATTTGCAGCAGAAGCTGTTGAGAATGTGGAAAACAATTAGAAGCAAAGAAAGAATGGTTTCACAGTGGTGATCTCTGGAAAAGTGACTTCCTTCCCAGGAATGCTCAGAACACAAATAAATCAAAGGGTATGCACTCCTCAAGTACAACATTGATCGGTAAGGAAGAAAAACCTATGAAAAAAAGAAATTTTCTGAGCAGGGTTTGGATGGAGTGTAACAAAGCACAACAAAATTTGACCAAGGAGGACAAAAATATGGAATAGCTACTTCTTTCAAGCAATCTGTACTCTCTTTCTCCAATATGTCATAGGATGCACTGAGAAACACAGCAGGCAATGAAATAAGCTCGTGTCGTTATATGTATGACATGGGACTGAGATTACAATTCTACTTCTTCAGCAGTTCCAGAATTTCTTGATGTCTGAATACAATTTTGCAAACATAAGGGTATTTTTTCAGCAATTTCTGCAAGTGATACATATATCTGATTTAGTGTTTCACCTTAACGAGATTTAAAAGCTACTTGTTATGTGCTTGTAATTAAAATTTTCCTTTTTCTCTGTGAACTGTATGAGCTGAAGCATAGCACTGACAGCGTTAGGCATCACGGAATGTTTGACACAAAAAAGGAAAATAGTAAGAAACTATAATTTTGGGAGGCCTTGCAATAATTACAAGCATTAGTGACATAAATTTACAGGAAAGTTTAAAAGTTCAAATAACTGTTAGAATAAATGACTCTGTAAAGAAGAATTTAAACAAATGAAATATTCCAAGTCAGTTTCAAATCAAGGACCAGTGGGAATTCTAGTGAAGCCATTGTTTCAGAGACTTGGATGGAGATTTTTTTAATGAATTGTTGAATAATATTTCAGCTGGATTTTTAAGAGAGGGTTACCTGACACTTTTTGGTCTGGATCGATTAACCTGGTGATTTATAAAAATATAAGAATAGGATTCTCAATTAATTTCAATATTTTATCACACCTATAGATTTATGTTTGCATAATTTTTAATGGGGCAATTTTAATTATTAAAAAATTAGAAAACCAGATGGAATTACAAAACAGCAACAGATTACTTAATTAACTTTTGCCTACTGGGATAAATAGAACATAGCACAGAATATATCAAAGCAGACATCAATGAGACACTATACATCCATTAGTATGCAGGAGGTTTTTCTCTTCAGATAGCAGTTCTTATCAGACATAAGCATATGCCTATTGGTCTTATTAAATAAACCCAGCAACTCCTCTTGTTAGAATCCATAGCATACAACATCATGGCAAAAATCTAAAGTATACTATGATGCTCCTCATAGACCAGTGAAATGTGCCACCAAATGATGTGAGGTGGACCAAGAGTGAAAAAAATAATTGCTATTATTTTATGAAGTAGTATGGCAAGTAAGTTAATTTGCAGATAGTAATAAACATCTTTCAGCTGTGCAAGAGGGCCTTAAAACAAAAGTAATCAAAATTGCAGATTTTAAGATTGTTCTCATATTTGTCTAATCATGTTGCAAATGTTCTGTCATGTATTACATGATATGTATTATTACATACATGGACAAAAATGTGATTGAATCAAAGTGCAGATCTGTAAACTCATACTAATTAAAATATCTTTGACTTATATGAAATATCCCTTGAACTTATTGCAGTACCATGTAGGCTTTTCTAAATTTCTTAGTATAATTTGCCAAGAGGTGCTCTGAAATAAAGACTATTTCAAACAGGATTCCAGAAGCTCTCCAGTTGCTTTGTGTGGCCAGTGAACCTTAGCTGATGACTTCCAAGATTCCTAGAAAAACTAACGATAATTATTGCACACCAAATACATGCCTAAATGATGTGCACTGATACCTTTTTATTTAATAAAAATGAGTGTCACCATATATATATATGTGCATACATTCCATTATTGCTATTGGAATTAACAGCCTGCAATTTAACCCCAGTCTCTTAAAAATAGGGCTCAGCAGACCCACACAAATTGAAATGAATACTTGCCACAGGTTTTTCACCAGGCTTCAAGACAATGTGTTTGTTAGTACCTTCAGATTAATACCAGTTATGTTTTGAACAGTTTCAGTCTCATGCTAAACGATTTAAACCAGATGAAAATAAAAGTGTGCTACCCAAAATAAAAGAATACAGAAAATACAGTATTGCAGTATTTACTGAACAAAATAACAAGTAAAAATCATGTTTGTTTTTTTTTTGCTTTTTTTTTTAAACAGCATTAGGTAATCCAATTTAGGCCATACAAGCATGAACAAGAAATGTAAATAACTGTACTATTAAGGTGGTATCTACAACTTTTTTTAACTGCTTGAGATCCAAACCCACAAACGTTGTATACCTCACTTCAAAATCATTCGAGTGCCTTGCACAGTATGTAAAAAATCTGATAGTCAATGACTGCCATGAAATGTACATACAATACCTGATTTTATACTTAAATAGCTGAGGCCCAGATCATCAAAGTATTTAGGTTCCCACTCCTCATGGAAGCTTTGGGTCTTGGTGTATATTAACCCCTTCCATGAAAGGAGCAACTGGTTTTGATGGTGTGAATTTATAGTCTTGTCTTTCC